TGTGAGAAAATGTGACCTATTTCCTCTAAGCATCCCCTTTCTCTATTTTATCACACCGCTCCAATAAGTACGAAATTTAACATAAATTACCCACTGTAAAATTGTCATTGCTCAGACAAACCATAATTTTTATAGCCTTCAATCCTGTTTGGTTACAAAGCCATCAAATAGAAAATCAGACCTGTCCTCACTTTCAAGATCTTTTAATAGTTCTCTCTTAATCTTAATACTCTATTATGTATAACAAATAAAAAGCCAAGGTAATCATCTGTCAAATGACATTATATTACATTGTTTTCTGTCATTTTCTCTGTTAGTACAAGGTTTGTTCCAATGGGAAATATAAGGACTAATTTGGATGAACTTGTAATGACTCTTGTCACATGTTAGAAAGCCAGAAAAATTGAGATAGTTATGGAAATTTGTTTGCTTTTTGCACGTTATTATTCCATGTTCTTTGGTGCATTATTTAATTTGATAAAAATTATTTAGGTCGTTACTACCATTATTATAAAATGTGGTAGGGTTAAGTATCGTCGACAGCAAATAAAAGAAAACTCGTGTAAGTTGTTTATTTCTTGTTTTTCATGTTTAGTCTTTATTTTTTATTATAAAAGTAACTAAAATGTAAAATTAGAGATCTCTTTAGGAAAATAAGTTAAGGTTAGATTAGATAAAATAAATAATAATATAATAAAAATGTTTCATGTGGCATGCAAGCGAGCAACTCGGAGTAGCTCGTGTTTACACTAATTTGATAGCATAATGTGAGCTCCACGTTCTCCAAGTGATTTACAACTTATAATGGCATGAATAGTAGTAGCTAGACATGGTTCGAAGAGCAATTAAATGAAAATAAAACAATAAAATTTAAGTATGAATAGATGTATTGCTGTTATGATTTTAAAGCTACTTAGGATAAACAAATATAGTTTCATGTTACAATTTGAAGTCATTCTAGAAAGAAAAAAAAGGGTATTTCGATTTATTTCGATTTTTTTTATGTGGTTATGAGGTCGGTCAAATTGACCAACCTTGTATAAAGTTAGGATAGAGATAACAGCAGATAAAGTATAAAGTTTTACTAAAAACAAATATTTGAAATGTACTTAGAAGGTTTAGAGATTATGCAAATGAAATCTTAGATTTTGAAACTAAGAAAAGTATTTTTAATCTTAACATGAAAATCACTTTGCATACGAACTAGTCAAAATAATACTTGATATATTCACAGACAAATCTTTAGCAGTTTATTAAAAATACTTCACTAAAAAAATATGATTTTTTGTATGTAAAAGACTTATAATGTTTACTGAAAATCTGCAAAATTTTATGTAGATATACTTACTATATTAAAAGTTAGTAGTAACAAATCTATAAAAACTTTGAACGAGTACAAGGAGATCATGTGGTCAGTCAAATTGACCAAACCCATGTTGAGAGTTAATAAATGCAAATTTAACAGGCCCATCACTAGCAAAATGGGGGATATTTTTGTTGAAAAACAAACAAACTACCTAATCCAGTTTTTCTTAATTTGAACTAAATTTTTTTGACATGTTTATTGGCTCAAAAGAAGGCATTTCCCACACTCTTTTAGTGTTGAGGCTGTGTAAAGTGATTTGAAGTGGTAAGGTGACTGAAATCCATCAAAGTGTCACAGGCTTAACGGCCAAGCACATGAAGAATGGTGGTCTCCAAATGACATGAAAAGGTATTCAGGAACCATTTAGAACTACCTAGGTAGATATTTTGCAACAAGCCAAGTACAATATTATGCTTGTAACTGCTTTCAGAGGGTTCATGTCTGCTCATCCTACCGCTGACTTTCATGATGCTTTGATTTTCCTACCAAATTGCAGGTGAAGCCGTTCGTATCTCAATTGATAGCTAAACATAAAAAGGTGATAGCAGAAACATAAAAGGTTGGCAGTAGCTTAATTAATGATGCAGAGAATGTGACTTTATTGATATATGCTGAATTTAATCTCAGTGGATAGACCTTAGTTCTAGCTTGTATGGAGACTTGAGAATGCTGTATTTCATTTAAAAGTTTTCCAATTAAGAGACGAAAACTTATCTCGAAAAGATATGTCCAAAACCGCCTTCTTTGGGAGTTTCTAGATTGAACGTACTTTTAATATTTGACAAATTCTAGTGTAAAACTCCCCTTGGTTTCTGAGGGATGTGTTAATAATTTATTTTATACTTTAACTAATATCACTTTCTTAAATTACCATCTAGTTTTATGCATTTTGGTCACTGGGCCCCTGCTTTTCAAGACCCCACCCTGGGATACTTAATATGTTTACAATGTCTCTTGCAAAAGAGTTCATTTTTTTTTCCCTGTTAGTACCATTACTGAAACTAGTGAGAAGATTTTTAACAATAAATTTATAATTTAAACCTAAAATATCTACTTTTAAATGAGGAACCCAGTAATAAGTAAAATTATATTAAATTCTTAGATGATAACTCACCTTCATACACAGAAAAACTATCTCCCTCATGCATCTTCTTACAAGATTTGCATGCCACTAACTTTGAGGCAACTCTCACCTAATTTCACAGGCTCTAATGTGAACTGTACTGGTGCATGATAATGTCATCATGTGACAAAAGCCCTCAATCATTAGGAGGGCAACACAACCTTCATGTGCAGAAACTCCCCCTATGCACTTGCGATATCTTCATTCTTCTCCTCAGCAATGTATTGAACAGGCATATTTAAATTACTTGTCTGAGTTCAGTTTGTTGAGATTTGCATTGTTAATGAAACTTTGATTTTTGTTTTCTTTGGCTTTTGTTTCAAAATCTTTAAATTTTATTATGAATTCTCAAATGATGGTGACATGTTTAATCCTGTGTGAGTGATGTTATTTATACCCATTCCTTATTTCTACTATGGCTTCTGTAGGCTTGTTACCTGTTGGGGATGTTGAAGCCATTGCTCAGTGTTTTGTGGATTACCACATGCTTGCTAGGCCTCCTACTTCCATCTCATTAGCTGAAATTCTTTCTCTTCCATTGGGAATGACCTATCGGACCATTACATTCACCTGATTTGCTTTGGGTAGTGTCTAAGCATTTGAGTAATAACGTTAACATTCATATCTCTTTCTGGATTTTGTTCTCAAATACATTCCTTCCCTTATTTTTTGCCTGTGTTCTTTCTTTTTTCTCATTTTTTTTTATTCCATGATCCAAAATACTTGGGGTGTACCTTATCTTTCCTCTTTGCTTGTTATTAGGATTTATGCTGTGTCCTTTATCTAATAGTGCCTCTCTCATACCCCAGTGCTTTGTCCCCCTTGAGTTCATGGCTTTTTTATTCTAGCTTGTAGACTTTCTTCCTTTCCTTTTCTTGATTCCCTGCCCCTGGTATCTAGTTGGCCAATTTGGGGGGTCAGGCTCCTTACCTTCTGTTTGGCTCTTCATTCCCTATTTTCACATTTATTCTTTTTTTTTCTCACTACATTTGTATTTCCTCGCCTACCTTTTGTCTAAGGCACTTCATCATGCTTCAGATGTATTTCTGTTGGTGTTTGTTCCATTCTCTTTGCCAGCTTAATCTTTTTCACTTCTTTTGCTCTATTCCTTCTTACTTTGTTCTCTTGATGTTTCTCTTCACTGTACTCCTTCTCATGTACCTTTCTTCACCTGGATGTCTAAAGTGCTGTTAAGGACTTCCTGATGACTTGGATTGATGTTATATGACTTCAGTCCTCATTATCTTCCCAGAATTTCTTCTTTCTCGACCTTGCCCTTTACTGTTGTTCCTTATCTGGATAGGTCTACCCCTCCACTTCCCATTCCAGGTTCCAGTCCTTCCTCTTTTCCTCATCATTCCTCTACCAGAAGTCTTAATCATTGCTCTTCTTGTTGGTGACTATCCTATCACACCCAAC